GACAGGGTCTAGCTAGCTATGTAGTGCAGGCTGGCCTTTAACTCACTGCAATTCATTACCATCTGCTGAGATTATAGACGTGTGCCACCACACCTAGCAAGATACCACTTTTTAAAATCATCAATAAGACAAGTGTCTACTGTTTCTATTCAATATTCTACCAGACAAAAAGGCCAAAAAAAGAAAAAGAAAAAAAAAGCCATACTAGTAAACTCAAGGGAATTTGTGGGCATTAGAATATACCACAAAATGTAATGAGATAATTGGATAAAAGATCAATATTCAAAGATTAACTACATTTCTATACAACAAAGACAAAATAATTTTAATGATATTTAAATTAATCCAAGGGGCCAGGGATTTAGCTCAGTGGTTCTGCTGCCTGCCTCACAAGCACAAGGACCTGAGTTCAATACCTGGTCCCCCCCCAAAAAAAAAAAAATCTATACTGGCATAAATCAGACAAGTGGTTTCCTGGGAATGGAGATAAGAGAGTAAGAAGGGTAGGAGAAAAGAAATACAAAGCAGCGCGAGGAAATTTTTAAGCATGAAGGTCATATACACTCTTGCTTGTGGTGCTAGTTTAATGGTGTTTATTGCTATTAAAATGTGTTCATGAGAATTTAGTTACCAAGCTTACCAAAATATAGAATGAATTGTCATTAATAATTCAATAAAATGATGAAGACCAAAATAAGAACAGTTATGCACTAATGTGTGTGTAAAATGGTACAAAAACCTTGAAAAACTAGTTATCATCTTGTAAAAGTAAATATGCACATGCCCTAGAGCCCAGTAACTGTACTCCAAATTATATGCCCAAGAACAGTATTTCTCAAGTGGGTCACGACAGAACTTTTGAATTGAATAATTCCTCATTATACAGAACTGTCTAATCTAAGCTCCTACCTTTTAAATGCTGAGAGTGTCCCTGCAGCAAAAATATTGCTACTCATCAAGCATTCTACCCACTTCTCCACATTTCCCAGGACTCTTAAAGGTAGAGTGAAGTAATTAGTTCTGGGTAATAAGTGGCTGGAAGAACTGGCATGGATCCAAATACACAAGAGCCAGAGTGAACAACACTCCAGTTACCTCTTCCCCTGCCACATGTCATAAATGTTGTTACAAAAGAAGAGAGCCTCTCTTAGGCTGGGTCCCTGAACAAAGGTGGAAAAGAGGAAATCTCTACCCTCAACTCCACTGACTCATAGTGGACAAATAATGTGAGTGAAAATAATCTAAGTCACAAAGATTTGGGGGATTTTGTTACCATGCATAACTTAAGTCTGATATGCTGACTGTCCAATCCTGCATTATTACCAGATATTGTTTTAGCATGGTAATCCTGGTACCAAACAACTGCCCTAAAACAGTACTTGCATACTTGAAGACATATGTTAATAGCACTATTTATAACAATAAAAATCTGTAAATAACCAAACGTTTATCAGCAGTAAAATCCCTTTAGAAATTACATGATTTCTATAAGAGTAGAACATTATGCAGAAATGAAAGCCACATAATATAAAATCTTATTAAATGCAGTATTGAGTGAAAAATCAATCACAGATCGCAGTGTGAAACCATTTTTATAAAGTCCAAAAACAAAATATAGTTAAATAATAAAACTGGCTTCAAAACATGAATAAAGTTATGAATACACAATTTAGGACAGTGGATATCCTGGGAGTTAGAGAAGGTAATGGGACAGATGTAAAAATAATATAAGGAGAAGAAATAATGGTATTGATACTGCTATAATTCCTAAATTGAGTCATAATTACGAGTTATTTAATTCATCATGCTTCATAATTTAACAAATATTAAAGCACTGAAATAAACTATCTAAAAATCTATTAAATTCTAAATCTATTAAATTAATTCTAGCATGACTTAATGAATAAAAATGTTTACTTATGAAGCAAATAGTTTCAACAATCAAACTTTTAAAAATTTTATTTAACAAAAGCATTTGTAATGTGAAAATATAAACTGAAGACTATGCTCCAGAAATGTATCAATTTTGATGGCACAGCAATTATAGATAGGTTATAACCAATCTCACACCTTATTTCTAGCTCTTGTCTGTTTAAATTCGAATAAAAAAGCTTGTCCATTGAACTCTGTTTGTCCTTTAACAATGGAAAATAGAAAAAAGGAATAGACAAACATTAACAAAAGCTCAAGATTACAAAAAGGGGTTATTTTTCCTTAACTCAGTCAACAAGTTTTAAAGACTCAAATTTTCAATGCACTCAATTATTTTTAAAGGCATAGTGCAAAACAGGTTTTACAAGGTCTACTTGTGAACAGAGGGAAGCTATTAACTTTCAATTCACTCAATGGTAGAAGTCCATCCAATAATAAGCCTGGGAAGTAGGACAAGTCTCTCAGGCTCCGAATAGAAATGCTAATTATAACTGGATATTCTGACTTTATCTGAACATTCCATGTGCTTTCTGCCTCTGCATCTCTGAACAGAGTAGTACTTCTCTCACCATCAACTTCATATATCAAAAGATTTTTCACCCTTCTAGTTCTGCCTCTTTCATTACAAATCCCCCCCAGTGAAATCTCTCCTTCCTCTAATATCCTTCTCCCCTATTGTTTTGTACATCCTTCATCTCCTGCTATGAAAGTGTGACCTCTTCAAAGACATGAATGCTAACTTATGCATCTTAGTATTTCTTGGATGTCCAGCACAGAGCCTTCCCCCAGAACATATTTAATAGTTATATTATGCAAACACCCACCATCATAAAGAGAGACTGCTGACATAACACAGTGTCAAACATTAAATATACACTTTAAAATAAAGGCCCACAGTGGTAATAACGACTACTCTTTCAGTAATGGTTTCAAAAATGAGAGACTGAAATCTAAATGAAGCTTTCAGTCTGGCCAAATTCTACTCTTGAAATAAACAAGAAGTGGCCTTCCTAAGATTAGAAAAAACAACAATAGAGAAGGAAACAACTGATATATCTTACACACAAGGAAAGACTAATTTAAACTTAAGAATGAAAAATGGTTTTTCTAAATAGCAAGTGAACATCAAAACCATTTATTTCTATTCTCATCCAGTTTTACCTTCCTCACCTCCCCTAGAACAGATAAAACATTTGTCAATTTTAAAAGGGTAAAACTGACATATAATTATGGTGACATTACATCTACCAACACTAAAATAAATCTGACAATGAAAAGTACTTAATGTTGTCCCAAGAAATCTGTTTCTTTCTGTTTTACAAATGATAAAAACAGAGAGGTAAGGAAAAGTGCAATCAAAGATTAGCACTAGAAGAGGTTTAACCCTCAGTGGGCTTGAATATAGATAATTCAGTAGATTAGACTTAGGAATCAGTATACTCAAATATGCTCAAGATATCAAAGGATATCTACTCTAAAATATATCAGTGAAATTCTGGTTGACTCATTTTCACTCCAGTAGATAAAATGCACGTACTACAGAAGCTAAAATCACCAAGGCTTCACATGAGCCAATGGCATTTTTATTTTCCACAACTCTAGTGCCAACAATGCCCACAAGTAGAGCTCAACACAAACTAAAACCTCAGATGTGTCAAAGAACAGCTAACTCTTATTACAGAAATGTCTCAAAGAAAGGTTTTTACCGATGCTACAAAACCCTTTAGTATGTTTCTGTTTTACTTACTTTTCCACCAATTAATGGCAGAACATGCATCTTTCCAGTCAAGCTGTCTTTCACAGATGATACTATCAAGCAGGTCCCACACAGGATAACATGGCGTCTGGTCCATCGGTTCACTGGCAACTGCATTTTGCCTTTGCGGACATTGTACATTCCTGAGAGCTGAATCCGTTCGGAGCTACCAGTGCTGTGAGGTTTTCCTAAATAAAACAAACATAAGCAAATGTTTTATTCTTTTAAAATGAGATATTTTTCCCTCCTGTTCTAAAACCCAGAAAAAATAATTGGATGACAGTAATTATAGGGAAATAGTCTAATTTATAATTGAGAGAATATGACAGCTGCAATAATGGAATTATGTTAAGAATTACAAAATTTGCTCCACATGCATATTTTAATATTAGGTGACAAAAAGCCTTTTTCTTAAAACCCAAGGAGATCATTCCCTTAACTCCTGTTTTAATTCAAGTTGTATTTTTGTCTATAATCTTACAATTTTACATTTAAGAGATGAATTCACAATTTTTATGGATGGCTAGAATTAATTTAAGTACACTAAGAAAAATTACAGACCAAGATAGAGAAATAACATTCAACATCCAGCATTTAATGAAACAACCATTTTAGTGAATTTAACTGCTTTTATTTTACTTCTACATATATTGGACGTATGTTTACTAAAGAGAGATAAAAATGAAAGATTTTTCTAATAGGAATATACTCCTGTATAGCCACCAGATAAGTCTTCAAAGATAAATCTAACAGCAGTCCATGAAGGATGGGTATACCACAATGCTTGTGATTTACGGAAAGCAACACAGAGACAAGCAGAGACTTAAGAGACACAGATCTGAGAAAGATGTGAAGAGTTTTCATTTCTTGGGTGCAAAGAATATGGCAGAATTACATTCAGGTAAATCCTTTTAACTTAATAACAGAACTTTGATTAACGTGCCTTAGTGCTAGAATTGGGTAAACAACAAGAAAAGTATTTCCCAGTTCTAGACACTGAATATATACTACATGATATCAAAGAATTCTAATGCTCAAGCTCAGAAATAAATCACTAGGGGATATGTGTCCTATAGTAAAACTCAAGCCAGAAGTGATATATTTGTAAGTTTAACTTGTTGCCAAAGATCAGCAGCAGATATACATTCAAGAGAAAATATGCTAATTTTTAACATTAATAGAATAGTTAATTTTTAATAATAGTTATGATATATGCCTCATTACCCATTAGACAGGGAATAGAAAAAGCCACAATACTAAAGCGACCTACCTTTGGACAGAGATGTTAGGAAATAACATCAGCAGTTTGATTTGTTTCTTCCTCTTCCTGCCAGTATATAAAATGCTTTATAAAATAAAAATTTCACACATCATAGTATTTTGCTGGGGCTGGGCCAGAAGAATAACCAGATGTCCAGCAAACAACTACACTGCTAGAACTATCAGTGTAGGAAGGTACTATGTTGTTGTCCACCAAATATTAATTTGCCCAGAAATACTTTTTCTAATCTCACATGGCCTCTTCAGGGGTCTCAACTTTACACATAATTAAGCTACTTGTTATCCCACAGCTTGGCTGATGTTCTATTCTCTCTTTCTCTCATTGTTACTGGATGTATCAGTTTGCTCATTATTTCCTTTGCACTAATTAACCTATTTCATCCAGGATACTTTTAATCTATAGAAGTCCAATTTGAGTATATGCCCACAAACATGTACGAACTATGAACATAATTCATTAGCACATATATGTGACCTCCAGATATCTCCTTAACATGCTAATGTTTCCCTTTATATCCATGAATATACAGAATATTAACTGTAACAGCTGCCTAAAAGTTTTTGGTAACTAATTCAAGAATTTGTATTATTTCTGTGTCCATTTAGTATCACTGAGTTTTCTCATTATGGATATTTTTTACACAACCGGTAATTTTTGTTTGGACACCATTCAGTTTGAATTTTACTTTAGTGAATGCTAGATATATTTTTATTTTTATAAAAATAACAGCTTTGTTCTAGGACAGTTATTTGGAACAGTTTGGTTCTTGCAAAGTTTGCTCTTAAATTTTGTTATACAGGACCAGAGTGGCCTTAAATCTAAAACTAATATCCTGCTGAGTATTTCATACCCTATAAATTATAAGGTTTTCCACTCTGGATGGAAGGAACAAGAGCTCTTGCTATACGCACTTCAAATTGTTCCACCTGCTCCTTTCCCAGTTTTTCCCAGTTTTGTGTATTTTCTTTGCACGCATATACTGATCAGAGCTCAGTTTAAGGCTCAGTGGTGACTCCTAGCATATTTTCAGAACACTTCCTCTCTGAGCAACTCTATCTGCTCCAGTACTCAGGCCTATAAACTCAAGATGCTTATCTTCAATGGACTCCAAGTAGTTCTAACCAAAAGAAATGAGAAACAGAAATAACAGAAACAGTACAAATTTGATGCCAAATGAATGTCTTTGCTATGTATTTCCTAAGGCCTATCTCTGTAGGAGTTTAAAAATATTAAACTACAAATTATTACTATAGAATATTGAATTATAAATTTTTAAAATTTTTCCTTCAAAAGGTAGAGCTTTATTCCACTCCCCCCCACCATTTTTTTGGGGGGGGGTTACCAGGGATTGAACTCGGGTCCTTGCGCTTGCAAGGCAGGCCACCGAACCACTGAGCTAAATCCCAGGCCCTATTCCACTCCCTTTGTGTGTAGACTGCATTTGGTGGCTTTGTCTAACAAACAGAATAGGATAGAAGCCAACAGTGTCTTCTGAAACTAGGTCATAAAATACATTGGGCTTCTTCTTCACTTTATAGGATCACTCCCTCTGGGGAAGCCAGTTATCTACCAAAGACACACAACCCTATGAAAAGATGAACAAGGTAAGGAATAGAAACTTCCTGCAAAAATCCAAAAAAAAAAAAAAAACTGAAACCTCACTAATGGTCATGTCAACAAGCCATTTCAGAAGCAGATCCTCAAAAAAAAAAGATCCTCCAGCACTGACAACCCCAGAGAAGCACAACTTCCAGGACATCCTGACGGCACACCTCATGGCAAACCCTGAACACTCAGCTAAAATACTCAATTTATTAACTCTGAAACTATAACATAATAAATGTTTGATGTTTTGAGCCACTAGGTTTTGGTGGCTCAAACAATTAAAACAATTGTATTATGTTGGTGTCACATGGTTCTACTTATTCCATATAAAAACTTAAATATCTATACTTCCCTAAAGGGATCTACAAAATTTTTAATACTTTAGAATAAATTAGGGAGTTCTACTATAACCTGAAATAGTAAGAATAAGAATGGCAATTAAACTATCACAACAGTTTCCAAAATCCTGGATTAAAGAACTCATAGTAATACAGCATCAAAAACTAGGAAGTCTGATCACTACATAAAGTTAATAGAAGAACTTAACATGTCCCAAAAGCCCAAAATGGCCCAGAATGAGTAAAAATACTCAACTTTCGCTTCATCTTCTCCAGCTGTCAGGCTCAGACTGATAAAGCTCTAAAGCATGTTTCTTATTGCATATAAATCCTTAAATCCTTTTGACTTCTTCCAGTGACAGAATAAATGAAGTAAATTACTTGCCCAGGGTCATTTCAAGAGCTAGCAGAAGGATTGAAATGACTCCATAAGAGGTCTGAAGACCTCAGCACTAAACTGCATCTGGGAATTTTGTTGCAGAGATGAGAGGCTAAAAGGATTTCAGCCAGAAGTGCTGGCACAAACTCTGAAACAGATTTAAGACTAGTTGCTCTTCAGCTAAAGGAAACGACAACCAGCTACTACACAGATTGGGGGGGTTAATTTATGCATCAGATCAAAATGTATAAAGTCAACTGCCCAGTAAATCTTGCTTCTTCCTGAAAACTACTCAATTTGAATAGGTTTATTTATATCTTCTAAATTACAGTAGACCCTTATCCTTGACAAATGTCATGTCCTGAATCCTCCTCTATGCCCTAAATTCTTAAATAACATCAGAGATTATGATTTCCTTTATAATATTTATTAAACAGTACCTGATAAATGTGAGCTACTCTACATACCCTTAAGAGATTCAGTAAAACAGGGCTAATGTAATTAAAAAGGGAAAAAAAATCCACCAAAGCAAAGTCTTATATAAACTATGGCAAATTAGTTATGAACTTTTTAAATAGCAAAATAAAAATAGTGATTATTACTGTGACTGTAATTTATGTAATATACAGCTAAAGACATAAAAGGAAATGCCAAGTGGGAACTAATTACAGCAGAAGGACACAACTTTAGCATGCACCAAAATCATCTGGAAGGCTTACTAAAACAGAGTGCAGGGCTCTACCACCTAGAGTTTCTGAATCAGTAGTTCTAGGTGGGGCCAGAGCTTTTGCTAATGCTGTAGGTCTGGGGGAAGCCCCTGAAACCCACCAAATTACAAAGTTATCAATGTCTTCATCTGGAGTTTCATCAGAGCTTGGCTCATTAACCTCAACCAAAGAAACAAATGAACCTGGTTGGAGAGAAGATGAGAGGCAACTGGAAGACTACAGAACAAGTGCTGTCTAAACCACTCCCTCCTCCTTCCCTAGCTGCAGTTCTCAGGCATCACTCATTCTATGGATGGATACAGTTTGTCCTTAATACTGGATGCTCAAGTTTCTTCTTGGGATATATGCTTAGGGAAGGCATCTTCTTCAAATGTGAGTTTCATCATAATATTACATTCATAGAGCTGTAACCCTTTATACCTCATGATCTTTTCAGCTCAGTTTCAGGAGCAATATATAGGTAGATGATATGGCCTCCTGCTATTAACTTCATATCTGGGAAAGGAGACACATTTGAAAATTTACAAGTCAACCTCCACTTGTCAGTCTAATGTCTGTACCATCTGTTACTTTCCAGAAATGGTAGTCTCATGCTCCCTGTGCAGAGCTTCACACGTTACCTTAAGGGACTTTCAGCATTCTCTTAAATTTTCCTTCTTATTTGATGAGATATATTTTCAAGGGCTAGATCAGTCACTGAAACAGTTTACTAACTTCTCATTACAGTCATTTCCATTAAAACAGATGGTAGACTTGCTCGGGTCCATGGGTTCGTTATGCATCTGCCACATTCATCATTCTTAAGTTACTCACAGTTTCTATTTTCTGGCTAAAAATCATTTTGATGGACTTTAGA